AGTTTGTACAATATATTGTTTGTTCATTATCGTAATTTGTACTACTTTTTTATCATTATTGCCAAGCTTATATTTTATTATTCTCATTTTTTGATGATATCATTTTTGCAGAAATGACTATTTCTGTCTATAATATGATTGGAGGTTTTGCGAATAAAGATTCATGATTATTTTTTCCAATGACAACTTTGGCGTGCCAAAATTCTAGATGAATATACTATTGGTGGTAGATCGATTGTATTACTTGCTAAAAATATATGTAGATATTGTTATAATTATGTTTTTCTTTTAAAATAACAAGACTTTAAAAAAAAAAATAGGACAATTTTCTTCGAGATATTTATTAGATTGCTTGCATTTATTTTTAAAATTAGTGTTATCAATTTTTATTTTTATGATTGTAGTTATTTTTTTAATTGTAAGTATGATCGATGATTGGAGGAAATTGTAGTTAGCACCTTATTTTATTAGTAGTTATTATAAACTAAATAAAAAATCACAAAATAAATAATTAGATTTTTTAAAAATAATTACGTCACATTAAATATATTTTTTAACAGTTAACATCATTTTTGGTCTTTATTTAGTTTATTTATTCATTTATGTTTGCTTATTGATTATTTTGTAAAAATAAAACAAAATAAAAACATAACAACTACAGAGTGTTAAACAATAATTATACTCAAATATTTTACGTCTCAGATATCAAATGTCAAAAGATTAAAATGTATCAATTTTAATATATATATTTTGGTAAAAATGTAACAAAAAAATAATAATGAAGAATTTTTAAATGCTCCTATTTTCTCTCCACTTTTCTATTTTAAAATTTTAATTTTTCAAAAATATTTAGATAAGGATAATTATCTTCAAAATCTTATCTAACCGTACTATATAGAGAAAACCAAATAGTTAGGGAATGATTGTATCTCTTTATATTTATAATGTATATAGATTCATATATTTTTCATTTTGAAAAAATATTTAGAAAATCGTCTTACTAAAAATTGGATTTTTAAATAAGTGTGCATTTTCTCCCCTTGAAAGTCAATTAGACTACGTAGCTAATTTTTTTATTTCAAAATGACTAAGCTTTTATGTCAAAATAATTATTCTTACGTTCTCGTAATTAAGAAGCTTAATAACTAATTGAAAGCATTTCGTTCTAAATTTTATCATCTTATCATTTTCAAGACCAAGGGACTTTCTTCCCTTGAAATTGAATTGGACCCTCAACATTTCAATCCAAATAAAAGAGAAGGCCCAAATTCTCTGGCCCAAAATCACCTGTCCCGGACCAAATAACCCCTATACTCTTCTCTTTCTCTTTGTTCCTCTCAACAGTACGCTCATCTCTAGCGAACTCAACCAAAGCGACCCAAAACGCAAGATTCAACAGAGAGGAAAAATCCAAAACAACGCCAAGATCCTTTGCTTAGCTCGTTTTGTCACGCGGAGTGCACGAGACCTTGTACCAGCGATACTTTCAGAACGTTCCTAGATGGTAATATTCATTCCAATTTCATTTTTCCTTTTCCAATTTAGTTCAAAATAGTACGAATTCGTACACCCTCCAACTCACCTGAGCCTCATCTGTTAAGATTTTTGAATTTGGGATTCTCCCACATCGATTCTATCCTAGAAATTCCCCTCAAATCTCTCCTATAAAAAAACCCCTCTCTTCATTGTTCAAGGGACGAATTTTAGAGACCAAAGAGTATCCTAAATGTTTTGGGAATTCTTGGTTCCATAGTTAAAAATTTTGTGGCTTTTTGTGGTTGTTCGAGTATAAAGAGGTGGTGGAATTGTCACCGTCAAACTCGTCGTCCAATTCGCTGCCCGAAAAGAGTCTAATTGGACCATCTCTTGCATACTCCTCTCTTCGAGTCAACCTCTTCTAAGTCGTGAAAGGGAAGCTAATATTAATGGGTTAAAACTCAAACCAGTGGCAGCAGCTAAGTAGCGGCGTAATAGGAATCCCAAATGGCCGAAAATTGAATTTTGGATTTAAGAATCCAATTTGATTGTTGCAGCAGTAGTAGCAGTCCCAAAGGGACTAAAATTGGAAATTTTTGGACTTAAATAAGTCCAATTTGAACAATCAGCAGTGATGGAAATTTGAAAATTGGACTTAAAAAAGTCTAATTTGAGCGCAGCAGTAGTGGAAATAGTCAGAAAGGGGCCAAAGTTCCCTTTTCATCCACTTCTTTATTTTATTTAGTTCCTTGCTTTATTTATGAATATATGTTGATGATCGCTAAGTTTTTAACATTTTATTTTGTTAATTTAGATGATCTTTGGGGAAGTTTTCTATTTTGTTGTTCATTAAGTATTTAAATTTTTCAAATTCCTTTAAGTTAGGCAATCTAAGCTTTAAGACTAACTTGAGAATTATTCGTATTCTTTAATAGTTAGTATTTAGCTTTCAAATCCACACTTAAGTTATTGTGTTGATTTTTTGACTCAAAACTTGACTCGGATAAAATGTTCAGTTAAAATTATTATTTTGACACTTTAACATTTGACTTATTTCATACTTGGAATAAGAGGAGTGTATAAGTATCAAAAGACTTTTGTTATTTTAAAACAAGATTTTTCACAAATAATCTCAAGTTTTCTTTAAAAATTAGTCAACTTTTCAATCTGTCGATCAACCGTGTGTTAGTGAATTCTCTAAGATGCCTAAATCCTTCCTTAGAGAATTATTTGAATCCTTACCTGACTCTAGTTTTATTTAAAATATTTTCTTTCAAAAAACCACTTTTAAATGGTTTTCTTAATTTTTCCTAAAAATTAAGTGGCGAATCCTAAATTGTAATTTTTCCAAGAAAGCCAAATAAATTTGCCAAAGTTGCGAAATGGTTTCAAAACCTTAGTTTTTTTTAAATCGGGTCTTAACAGAATGACGACTCTGCTGGGGATTTATCTAGGTTCTAAACAAAATGATTTTATCATTTGGCTAACTATTATTGTATTAATTGTTACTTTATGCAATTATGTGTTTAAATTTTGAATATTCACTTTCATATTGCATTCATGGCATTTTCTGATATATGTATAGTATATTAAATAACAGTTTCTAAATAATCGCAGTAGGGCTTTTTATACTAAATCCATTTTCCGAATGATTGATAATTTATTGGTACGTCAGACATCCAATGATTGTCGTGAGTTCCAACCTAAGTTGTCCGTTTGGGGTCCCAGTCTTTCAAAAGTCACTCTTAGTCAACTAGTGTAGAGTAAAATCAAATCCTGAATTTAGTGCATTTTGAACTAAGTTGACCCAACACCCAAGGCGTGTTGGACCCATTAGAAGACCACTTTGTGTCTAATTGTCCCCCGGTCAATACAAGACGATCATCCACCTATTTGTTAAATTTGAAAGATATGTATGTCGATTTGTGCGCACCGTTGTCCTTGGGGTTGAATTTTTATTTTATAGATAGTTTCTTTGTTGAAGTCAAAGGAAGATCCTCCTCATCAGAAAGAAATTCAAAAGCATCAAGAAATTTGGGAATGAAAATTTTAGATGGAAGCTTAGTTTAGTTTATCATTGTACCCCTGTGTGAGACTGATATTTATTTCCCTTTCTTGTGTATCCCCATTTGTTTTATTCACAAGGTTTGTATAAATAATTTTTTGGAGGAAATGGAACGTTTTACAAATGATATACACATCCTTCAAACGTTAGGCCTACATTTGTCTCAAAAGGTCACATGTATGTTAGGAGGCGTTATATATTGTTTGTGTGTTAAATGTTACAAATTTAGTTTCGTTTTGCTTGCTTGACTTATGTGTTCTATGCATATGTTTTGCTTCAAACATGATTGGTCCATTATTCTATTCCGAAGTTTCAAAATTTTGTTTAGCATATAAGCTCAATTTTTGATCTCTCTCGAATTACTCTTTGAGTCCATTATCAAAATTTGTTAAAATCACTCAAAGTTTCGAGTTCATTAAATCCTCAAAAAGATTGTTGGGTCATCACTTAAATTCATGTTCACCTCGTTGTTCTTCTAAATTATTTTCCACACCTACTTAGCCGGCGTTACTAAATTTTCCGATAGTTTCAAGTCAATTTTTAAGATGTCTTTATTCTCGAAAGGGCTTTTCAATTGAACCTTCTAAAAGTTAACATTTGAACCTTCATTCAAATCACATAGTTTGCTCTGTTCAAATCCCTTTCTTTCATTAAAGTTTTAGTTCACAAAATGATCAAATTTTTTCCATTTGGTCACTTTTTAGAGTCTCTCCCTCCTCGAATTTTGGACTAATTTGTTTTATATGTTATTTTGGTTTATTATTATGATTAATGAACTAACTCTCTTATTTTTTGAGTTGTTTTTAGAAGGAGAGATTGATTATTTGTGTTGGTAATCAAACTTGCTTACTTCACCAAAGTACCCGCTGGCAGAACATTCGTATTTTACACGGTCTAAGGTCAAAGAAATTTCTACAGACTCTTCATTTCTTATTTGAACTACTAAAAGGACTCTCTCAAAAATGGATTCCACTATCAACACGGTTGCTTCGTTCGAAATGATCCCCACTCCATCTATCGCGTCTAATCCTAGTGCCTCGATAACAACAGAATCACCTATGGAAGTCATTGCTCGTCTAGAGCGACAAATTGGTGAACTGTATCTCCTGGAAACTCAATACCAAGCTGCCTTTTAGAACCTACCACCTAATGCTTGCCAAAAAGGTCCCATGCCATATTCGTTTCTGACTTCAAGTGAGCTCAATCAAGAAGATCAATTCACTACCTTTCAGCAAACTCAAAGTGCTACGCTCACTCATTCAACTCAGGATATTCCTTTTGTGTACACATTTGCTCCTCCAAAAGCTCCAACGGTAACACATCATGCTCCGCCAGTGTACACTTATGTCACTGTTCCACCTGTTACCAAGGCTCAAGAATTTCACCGCCAAGATGTTAATCACTATGTTGAAATTGAAAATGATGCAAAACAATTGATGTTGAAATGATGAATAGGAAGATGAAAATCTTAGAGGATGCTATGAGAGGTCTTCGTGGGTTCGATAGTAGCCAGAGTGTGAGATATGAAGAGTTGTGCACATTTCCTGAGGTTGAGCTTCCACCCGATTACAAGATTTCGAAGTTTGAAAAGTTCAGTGGATCAAGGAATCCTTTCTTTCACTTGAAAATTTACTGTGAAAAGTTGATTGGCGTTGGAAACAACGAAGGGATAAGAATCAAGCTATTCACTCAAAGTCTGACTGGAAAAGCCTTGGAGTGGTATTCAAAGAGAGATGTGACTAAATGGCGTATTTGGATGATCTAGTGAACGCTTTTGTGGATCACTACAAGTTTCATGTTGAGATCGTTCCTGATAGAATCTCTATTACCAAGCTAAAACCAAAGTTGATTGAATGCTTTCGAGAATATGTCATTCGTTGGAGGGAAGAAGCTGCTAGGGTGCACCCACATATGGAGGAATAAAAAATGATCACCTACTTCATTCAAGCGCAGGACTCAAAATATTATGAACGAATGGTGACTATGGGTGGAAAGACATTTGTGGAAGTTATCGAAGCTGGAGAAATGATTGATGACGGTCTCAAGACTGTCAAAATAACATATTACACCTAATCTCAGTTTGCTAATAAGGCCTATCAAACTGGTTCCTTTGGAAAGAAAAAGGAGAAATAAGTTATGATGTTAACGTCTCAAGGAGCTACCTCATATAACTGTCAATCACCTCCAGGCTATCATGATTCACGATACGATGTTTGCAACAATCAAGCAACATTTCGTTCTCCACGAATGTGAACACCAATCCGCTACCCAAACACAAGGAGTAGTCATTGGCATTACCAGTTGCGAAGAAGAAGCAAGTTTTTCTGAAAGTCACTTTTGGCGTCTTTTAGTCTTGCATTTGGAGTTTGTTGTTTTATTTCAGTGTAATCACACTTTTATCGCTTTATTTCCGTTGTAATCGTTTGTTTGGATTTGATTTTCTCTGTAAGTGTCTTTTATCTGTAATGAACTACGTCTGGCCAGAATTCTCAAGAATGAGATACATAGGCGGCCTATGTTGGCTTCGGTCACCCCTTTATCCCTTTTTAATATTTCCTTGTACTTAAACTATGTTCGACCTGAATTATCAAGAATGAGATACGTAGGCGGCCTATGTTGGCCTTGGTCATTTCCTTAGTTAAATTTTTCTATTCCCGTTAATCCTCAAGGTTGGAACTACGTTCGACTTGATTCCTGCTCAGCGGGATACGTAGACGCCATACCGGCTCGATCATATTCCTCGTAAGTTTTTCATTTCCTTTTATAATGGGGCAGAATTTTTGAGATTCACTCAAAAATTCAACTAAAAACTACAGAAAGTTCAAGGTTTATGTTATGTTTTAAGTCGGGGAAGTATTTTTGAAGAGGGTCCTCAAAATTTCCATCAAGCGACATTTCGAGATCAGACAAGCTTGTAAACCAGAAGTCAAATGAGCAACAGGATGGCAAGGCAAAGCCAACATGAATCAGTCTCTCAAACCTAAGAATTTTTCTTTGGATGCAGGAACTATAAAGTCATAGGACATCGTTAGACCCATAGTGGCCTCGTCATAGCTCAAATGATTTGTACTCTTACTCATCTTTTTAATTTTTTTTCCTTTAAATTTATTGTGACTTACACATTCTCAATTTTACAGATGGAATAGCTTGGCACAATGGCGAAGACCATGAGATGTTATCCAGACCAATATAAGCCGAGCAACTTTATTTGAAAACTTATCTTTTACTTTAATAATTTTATTTTGTTACTAATTACATCTGAACTCTGAAGGTGTCATTAGAATTGGAGTCAGAATTTCAAAAAGTCTTTTCAATCTTTAAAGGATCAAGCCAGACATTCACCAGACAAAGGACACGCGCTAGTCCTTATCCAAAGATGTTATTATGAAGGATTTCCGACACCAACGATCTAATCCAACAAGCTTACTCTTATCATCCTCTATTCTATGTGGAAAATTTTTGTCCTCTTTTATTTCTATTCTATCGCCGTGTGTTGGCAAATCTTTCGTTCTCTTTAAATTTTATTTCAGGTTCAAACTACGTCAGACCTGATTTTTTTTCCTACAAGATACGTAGGCAATCCTATATAAGGATTCGGTCGTCTAACTGTTTTAAACTACAGACCTCAGAGGAAACTGGGCTTGTTTTTGAATCAGTCATTATTCGTTTCTTGCAAATTATTTTAGTTAAGTACCCTTGGACTGGAAACAGGGGCAACTTTTTTGAAATAGTTCAATGTTATCAAAATCTCCGTTCAATTTTAGGTTCCAAATAGTCTTTTTCAAGAAATTTCTCTCTTTAATAAGAGATTCCAGACTTAGAGTAGGGGTGCACCTTATGTAACATCCCTAAATTGCCTTTAGTGCTTTGTTGCAATGTTATAAGTTCTCAAAACGTTCTTCCAGAATCCCGCGTTCACTATGGCTACCAGATCGTTATGATGCGTTTAAAAGTGTTGACATTTATTAATTTCTCTGTTCTTATCTAACAAATTTTCTATGAGCGTACGGACAACAAAGTTTTAATGACAACTAGAGATATTACTAGCTTCAGAAACTACAAGAAGCTAATCAGATTACACTGTTACAACCTTATTCTCTATTCTTGAGAGTCACTTCCTTCAATGTGACACATTATTATTGGAGCGTCACTTCATTCAACGTAACACGTTATTATTGGAGCGTCACTTCCTTCAACGTGACACATTATATTATTGGAGTGTCACTTCCTTCAACGTGACACATTATATTATTGGAGTGTCACTTCCTTCAACGTGACACATTAAATTATTATTGGAGCATCATTTCCTTCAACGTGACATGTTAAATTATTATTGGAGCATCACTTCCTTCAATGTGACACATTAAATTAGCATTGGGAAGTCACCTCCCTAAAAAGTGACACATTATATTATGTTATTGAATCATCACTTGTTTCAAATTGACACATCACTTTGGATCACCACTTTCTTTGTGAGCAGTACACTTGAAATTGGATCGTCATCTCCAACATGTCAAACCAGGTTTGCACAAATTATATTTGTATTTATGTTACATTTTTTTAGTGACAATTGTTTTCCAGACTTTTCAATACACAAAGTGAACTATGTCAAATAGGTCGCAGCACAACGTGAAACTTTTTCTTTGCAGCGAACTAGGACATAGTCCAAAGAGGAATATCAAACTCTTAAGATGCGAGTTGAGGAACGACTTCCACCACAATCAAACCACATCCCTATCATAAGGTGTGTGGGTATTTCTTGGGGTTTAACGTTTCAGTTTCGCCTTCAGTGAAAATTTCAACTCTCACCGGAGGCAAATTTTCAAATTTGAGTGACAATACCTAGAGCTTTGGAAGTTATGTCCATGTAAGTTCTTCCATATGGGTTTGAAGGGCCACACATTCATAAGTGAGATGTTTGCAAGCCTCTTTTCCGCGCTCAATTAATTTGTCACTCATCCTTAAGCTAAATGTTAAATCCGTATAAGAGATTTTCTTTTCAACCGATTGAGTCGAACTACAAACAGTCTGATTCCCAAAGTTTAGGGATATGTAGGCGGACTTAATGTTGAAAACTCGACTGTACTCCAAAATGACACCAAGACCTTTTGCTTAGCTCGGTTTGTCACGCGGAGTGCACGAGCCCTTGCACCCGCGATACTTCCAGAACATTCCCAGATGGTAATATTCATTCCAATTTCCTTTTTCCTTTTTCAATTTGGTTCAAAATAGTACGAATTCGTACACCCTCCAGCTCACCTGAGCCTTATCCTTTAAGATTTTTGAATTTGGGATTCTCCCACATCGGCTCTATCCCATAAATTACCCTCAAATCTCTCCTATAAAAAGCCCCTCTCTTCACTGTTCAAGGGATGAATTTTCGGAGACCAAAGAGTGTCCTAAAAGTTTTGGGAATTCTTAGTTCCATAGTTTAAAACTTGTGGCTTTTTGTGGTTGTTCGAGTTTAAAGAGGTGGTGGAATTGTCTCCGTCAAACTCTTCATCCAGTTCGCTGCCCAGAAAAAGTCCTATTGGACCATCTCTTGCATACTCCTCTCTTCGAGTCAACCTCATCCGAGTCATGAAAGGGAAGCTAATATTAATGGGTTAAAACCCAAACCAGTGGCAGCAGCTAAGTAGCGGCGTAATAGCAATCCCAATTTGATTATTGTAGCAGTAGCAACAGTCCCAAAGGCACTGTCATTGGGAATTTTTGGACTTAAATAAGTCCAATTTGAACAATCAGCAGCAGCGATGGAAATTTGAAAATTGGACTTTAAAAAGTCCAATTTGAGTGCAACAGTGGCGGCAAGAGTCATAAAGAGGCCAAAGTTCCCTTTTCATCAAGTTCTTTATTTTATTTAATTCCTTGCTTTATTTATGAATATATGTTTATGATCACTAACTTTCTAACATTTTATTTTGTTAATTTAGATGAATCTTTGGGGAAGTTTTCTATTTTGTTGTTCATTAAGTATTTAAAATTTTCAAATTCTTTTAAGTTAGGCAATCTAAGATTTAAGACTAACTTGAGAATTATTCATATTCTTTAATAGTTAGTATTTAGCTTTCAAATCTACGCTTAAGTTATTGTGTTGATTTTTCAACTCAAAACTTGACTCGGATAAAATGTTAAGTTAAAATTATTATTTTGACACTTTAACATTTGACTTATTTCATATTTGGAATAAGAGGAGTGTATAAGTATCAAAAGATTTTCGTTATTTTAAAACAAGATTTTTCACAAGTAATCTCAAGTTTCCTTTACAAATTAACCAACTTTTCAATCCATCGGTCAACCGTGTGTTAGCGGATTCTCTTAGATGCCTAAATCCTTCCTTAGAGAGTTATTTGAATCCTTACCTGACTCTGGTTTTATTTAAGATGTTTTCTTTCAAAAAATAACTTTTAAATGGTTTTCTTAATTTTTCCTAAAAATTAAGTGGCGACTCCTAAATTGTAATTTTTCCAAGAAAGCCAAATAAATTTGCCAAAGTTGCGAAATGGTTTTGAAACCCTAGTTTTTGAAATCGGGCCGTAACAATGACACAGTTCCCACCAAAGTGAAGGAAGAGTAGAAGTTGTTGGAGATTGTCTTCGTCTTCAGCTATAAAACATCACTGACCCTGCAACCATATTATGCCAAATGGCATATCAAGAGTAGTATCAGTACAAACAACACGTACTGGTACGCATCATCGGTCAACCCGTTGCCCACCGCATAATATAAAGAAATCAACTAGCAGGAA